GGCAGTACACTTTATTCAATAATCAAAGGCTTCCATGTGCATTTCATCTTGAGTTGGCCAGGGCACTAGGAATAAAGCAGCAGGCTGGCCAGGGGTTATGGCCTGGCTCTGGGATCAGGCTAGGGGCTTATATCTCAGTTCTGCCACTTTCTAGCTGCATAAACAGACAAATTACATAATCCTTCGGTATTTCCATTTCCTCATCTGAAAAATAACAAAAGTACGTGTCTCACAAGATTGTGAGGATTAAACAAGGTAATTCCTATAAAGCACTTTGAATGCCTGGGCATGCAATACATGCTCCACTCATATTAGCTATTAGTCAACATAATGTAGAGTGATAAAAGGAAGAAAATGGGTAAGAATAAGGCATGAGAAAGGAGGCGTTTATAGCATTCACGGAGTGAAACGCATACATACAGCATGCTATTTCATCTTTACAGGAAATCCATGAGAAATTCCCATCTCCTCCCTTCTCGCTTCCTCCCATCCTCTCCGTATGACTCAAGGCTCATTGGGTTGAGGGGGGAGGAGAAAAATTACAAAAAAGTCAGATCTCATGGTCTTATCACTATCCAGATAATTCAGTCTCAAAACATTGAACGCAGTTACCTGAGGTGAGGATAACTGAGAGGTTCCGATATATTCGAGGATACTTCCTAGCAATCTTGAAGAAAAGGGTAGATAATTTCTAATCTTCCTTAAAGAACGGAGATTGGAGACTAACAGCCTGAATTTCAAGGGAATGGAGAGGGAGAGAACAAACAAAGGAAATGAGAGAGAGAAAAGATAAAGTCTGGGGAAAATGGAGGTTAGGAACATTGGTGGACACCAGTCAGGCTGCTTAACCAGTACCATGCCTTCATCTTCCAGTGAGAGCACTGGTTAGGGATCAGCAGAGAGGACAGAGCACACACCGGCTAGCTTTAGCACAAAGGGATGTGTGACTGGGTATCAAGGGACTTAAAAAACTGATGATTTACAAAGCTCAAAGTAGTGGGCACTAGGCTAAGCTGCCAAAATGTCCCCTTCACCCCAGAATCACACCTCCTCTGCTGTGATACAGAAAGTCATCCCCTCACCACTGTGAGAAGCTGCCACCCGAAGTTGCTGGAAACAGAATTGCGCCGTCACCAACACGGTCTGCACCAGCCATATGTGCTGCTCCTTTACCTTCCTGACTCAGTTCTGAATTCAGGTTTCACTTGAGTGCAGATGACCAGCAGGACCTAAAGCACACCCAGAATCCCAGGTTTTAGGACTCTGGGAATACCGTGTCCAGCTCTCCATCCACTGATATGTGGAGGCACAGCAGGTGGAGGCTGGGAATGCTATTGAGCTAACCAAGCCACAGTACTATTTCTGTGCCCATTTTCTTTGGAGAGTCACTCCTTCCACCATTTTCCACATAGCTTAGGTAGGTATGGCCCTAATTCCTATAGCCAAGGGTAGCACACATTCCAGACCTAGCCAGTCAGAACTCTACATTCCCTTGACCCTAGTGAGCAGTTCTCAGATGGGCATATGACCCAAGCCAGAGATCGGGCTCAATTCCATGATCTTTTTGGAAACATTCTCTTTTTGCTAGATCAGAGGCTTCAAGGATGAGAATCTGGCATTTCTGGAGGTTGAATCCCCACAGCCACGCAGCTGATGCAATTCATGCAAGTTGGTTCCTGAGAATGAAACCAACACAGAGGTGAGCAAAGACCAAAGATGGAGAAACACCAAGTCCTGGTGATGCTGGCAGAGTCCCTAAATCCAGCCATGGCCGATACTAGACACACTTCTAGGTGAACACTTTACTGCCACTTCTCCTCCTCCCTTCTTTGCTAACCATCCCACCTTTTTCGTACTACTACTGCTTTTTTCTAGTTATTTTTCTCCTCTCATCTTCAACCCTATGAGCCCTGAGTCATACAGAGAGGATGGGAGGAAGCAAGAAGGAAGGAGATGGGAAAGGAAGAAGAAGGGATGGATGAAAGATGGGTGAATGATTTATATTATAAAGGTTTATAAATTATATTATGTGCCAGGCACCATGCTGGATGAAATTAATTCATCATCTTATTTAGAACTCATTTTAAGAGAATATATATGCAAACATTCAACTGACAAAACATGCAGTTGGAATCCAGCAGGCATCTAGAATTAATGTAATTACCATATCTGGATAAAACAAGTTGCACTGAATTATATGAAGACCAAAATTGAAAGAGCAACTCTTCTATTGCAGCTCATTCCCTCAATCCTCATCACCACAGTGTAATGGGTGAAATTCATTAATATGGCTCACTCACATAGTTATATGTCATTCCTGGCCATGACTGAGTTTTCTTATCACTTATGGTACAATGGCTAAGGCTACACGATTTGGTATCCAATCTGGGTTCAAAGTCTCTTTCTGACCATGAGATCCTGAGCAGGCCACTTACAGTCTCTGTGTCTTAATGTTTTCACCTGTACCACAGAAGCAATCATTCCTGCCTGAAGAATTAATGCAGGCCACACACACAGTTGGGGGTCTATGCATAGACCTGGGTCAGATACATGACAGGCTCCTAAACAGATTTAGGCATTTCTAAAATGGAAACAGCAGTTGGTGGCAATTGAAGCAAATTCTTAGTGAAAATATTCCATGACTTTGGACTAATGGGTCAAAAAAAAAAAAAAAAAAAAAAAGACACTGTCACCTCTGGGTCACTTCCATTCCATCCACCATTTTAGAGCAAAAACTCACCCTAAACCCACAGAACCATGGTGAGTTTTCCAACAAAACATTTGTGTTGTTTCAGAGTAAGAGCCCCTAGTCTTGCAACTATTGTTTATGCTGTGTATGTCAGAAAATATAATAGGTATTTTTGTTCCTTTAAATCAGGGGTCCCCAACCACTGGGCCATGGACAAGTTCATGGTCTGTTAGGAACCGGGTGGCAGGCAAGTGAATAGCTCCACCTCCTGTCAGATCAGTGGCGGCATTAGATACTCACAGGAAGGCAAACCCTATTGTGAGCTGTGTATGTGAAGGATCTAGGTTGCATGCTCCTCATGAGAATCTAATGTGTGGTCATGTGTCACTGTCATCCATCATTCCCAAATGGAGCTGTCTAGTTGCAGGAAAACAAGCTCAGGGCTCCCACTGATTCTACATTATGATGAGTTGTGTAAATATAATACAACGTAATAATAGAAATAAACTGTACAATAAATGTAATGTGCTTGAATCATCCCAAAACCATCCTCCACCTCCGGTCTGTGGAAAAACTGTCTTCTACGAAACTCATCCCTGGTGCCCAAAAAGGTTGAGGACCACCACTTTAAATGAACAATGTAGGTTTCACTGAGGGACATGTGGGAAGATGGAGAGGGTTACAATTCACCCAGGTGAGCAAAGCTTCTCCATGCCAGTAAATTTTCTCTCTCAAAGGCAGTTGCTTGATAGCTTTCTCTTTCCAACCACCCCCATCTCCTCTTGCCCCCCCTGGGGCTGGTTGCCCCCAACTCCTCCCTTCTGAGCCACTCCCTCTGTCTCTCCTTATGGAGAGCAATTTGGTCCTGATTCTTCAGTTATCATCTTCACCTCTAATCCCTTAGAGCCTTGGAACCAATCTTCCTTCAAGAAGGCTTTAAGCTTGTTAACGGGTGGCAGGGAGGAGAATGTAAGTAATAATTTTCCCTTAGCAACTTTTCTAAACCCATGTCCCTTGCTTTCAGGAGGGAAGAAGGGGCCCATGCTCTACTACGGATAGGGATCTATTTCACTAGCTATGTTTCAGTTTCTGTTTGTTGTTCTTGAGAGAGGTTTCATTCTGTCTCCCAGGCTGGAGTGTAGTGGTGCAATCTTGGCTCACTGCAACCTCTGCTTCCTGGGCTCAAGTGATCCTCCTGAGTAGCTGGGACTACAGGCATGCACCACCATGCCCAGCTAATTTTTTGTACTTTTGTATTTTTGGTAGATACAGGGTGATATGGTTTGGCTGTATTCCCACCCAAATCTCAACTTGGATTGTAGCTCCCATAATTCCCATGTGTCATGGGAGTTAACTGAATCATGGGGGGGGGGTCTTTCCCATGCTGCTCCCATGATAGTAAGTCTCATGAGATCTGATGGCGTTATAAAGGGGTGTTCCCCTACACACGCTCTCTTGCCTGCCACCATGCAAGACACGACTTTGCTTTTGCTCCTCCTCTGGCTTCCATCATAATTGTGAGGCCTCCTCAGCCATGTGGAACTGTGAGTCTATTAACCTTCTTTCCTTTATAAATTACCCAGTCTCATGTATGTCTTTATTAGCAGCATGAAAACAGACTAATACATGGGGTTTCACCACGTTGCTCAGGCTGGTCTTAAACTTTTGAGTTCAAGTGATCCACCCACCTCGATCTCCCAAAGTGCTGGAATTAGACATGAGCCACTGTGCCCTGAGACTGGGTTTTCTTTTCATTGCTTTCATTATCATCTAACATCAAAACTTGTGTGGAGGAAGTATATGTCCAGCACGGGACATTATGGAATTAGTGAGAAGAGTGCATTCTTTCGCTGAGCCAGATTCTCTAACTGAACCTTTGAAATTTTAGAAGAAATTGTGCCTTCCCACCATACACACCCTTCAACACCCTCCCTGTTACTATTAGTTTTTCCAAAAGATATTTTCTTTTCTACTTTGCCCATCTTTAAATAATTAGCAAATTCAACAACTGATCAGTTTGCTTATATAGGAAAGTTAGAATATCCACAAATTGGAAACATTTAAAAATAGACATAGTGCAGCAAGAATGGAGTAAGAAATACTAAAAAAAAAATCGACCTCAGTTCAAGTAAGTGCCCATCATTTGCGAGAGACCATTTGTTATTACGAGTGAGAATTCCATTTTTAAAAATATTTATTTTTACTAACACCATAAATTGGGTCCCATGAAGCTAATGAAAACCCAAGAAAAATGCAAACTCAGATAATGCCAAGATCCTTCTTTAGGGAGATATAATGGCAGAGGATACTGGAACAGCAAAATGAGCTAACTTTTCTTGTGACTGTCTTATTCTGCTTCTGCCTTTCAACAACCATATCAGAGGAGAGTTCATGAGGTTACACACACTATTATTATCCTTATGTGGTTCTCCATTTCTTCCTTCTTCCATCAATTCATTAGAATTGCAAAGATTCAAGGCACTGATTTCCTACTCTAGTATGTATGCAAAGTATAAATTCAATATAAAACCACTGGATAAATAAGTTTTCCCATGTACAAAGATCTAGATTAAAAAACAAACAAACTGAAAACAGAATACGTACAATACACAAAGTGTATATATATACATAACAAGACACTGGATAAAGAGAAAAGTCCTCTGAGTCCTGAGTTGGAAAAAATCTTAAGGTGTGACCACCATAGCTGTAATAACCAGGAAAGGCTTTATGGGAAAGCTTGAGGCATAAATAGGACTTGGACAGCAAGAGGCATAGGGAAGAGGACCCCACAGAAAGAAGCAAGGCCTGAACAAGCAGCGAGTGCCAGACGACCACATAAAGCTGCTCTGTGCTCTGACAGAATGAAAGATGGTGCAGCCTAATGGTTAAGAACTCAGGTGTGAGGTCAGACAGACTTGGGATCAGACTCCAGCTTCACATGCACAGGCTCTGCACTCTTGGACAACTTGCTAAACCTCTGTGTCTTGTCTCAAACCATAAAATGCAGTGACAATACCAAACTCCTCAGGCTTTCATGGGAACTAAAGGAGGTAAGGCTGGAATCACACTCACATGCTCCCAAGAAGAGAAATCTCCAGTTGTTAGCTCGTACACATAGAGCGCTAATAGGACAGTATTTCTTAAAGTATCCCTGAAAGAAATCCAAGGTGTGTATCCACCATAGCCAAATGCTAACCATTTGCTCAGAAGATTCTAGAATGACCACAGGAAGAAAAGAAGCTGTGACTTCCACAGCCTCAAACATCAGGGCACAGAATTTGATCCCTGGGGCTGGAAACTCTTAAGTAGTTGAAGGAATGAGAGAAGCTAAGTGGCTAAGTGTTGTGAGGACTCATGAATTCATCTCAACTACACCATTCAGGTCCTTGGTCAAAACGTTCTTCTAAATAAAGCCTTTATTGTTATTTCTAAAACAATCATTCACCTCTACCCCTATAAGGGGACAGAATTTGGCCTTTAAAGATAAAGATGGCTCATTTGTCTGTAAAACATCTGATTTAAATATAGTATCTGGCCTCCTCCAGGGAAGATATCTCGCTGCTTCAAGACCTTTCACATCCTGGGTCATTTTCAAGTTTTTGCTCATCTTTACATAATTACAGAATTATCTACTAATTATATGTTCCTATGTTGTTATTAAATGCAGCAATAACACGAGACGAAATTAGCATTCCCTTCATACTACAAAGCTGTTGTTCTTTCTTTCTCCCACCCCAGAAAACCTTCCCTTATCTTTTTATAAAGAGACATACCAATTCTATTTTAGGAGAAACAGTACCTTTTATCCTTGTTAAAATACTGGAGACCAGGCAAGTAAATTAGAAGAGAAAGATACAAAGCAGCTATGAAGGGGATCTGAGGGAGTGCCGAGTGGTGGAGGTGGACACCTGAAGCTCTGTCCCGACTTCCTCAGGCCAAAAGGTCCTCAACCTCTCCATGACTCCGTTTCTATATCCAAAAAGGATGCCTTTGTAGTGCTGTTATAAAAATGAAGTGGGAAGCCTGACACTCCATCCATGTGACTATTGATACAATCTACTTTTTTTAAACGCGACGTTGGAAAAGGTCTCTCCTGTTTCTCTCCAGTGCTTTATCTCCTCTTAAGCAGGCAAATAAGAAAGGATCCAATGGAGAAAGCAGGCAGAAGAAGCAGGAAAACTTATCTAAGGAGAGCTCGTCTTCACCCCATAAGAGCTTCACTGCTGGAAGGTCACATAAGGCCAAAACAGTTATGGAGAGAGCCAGAAAGCAGCACGCTGCTCCTCTTCATAGGTTCAAGACAAGATACAGAGGGTTGGCAAGTTGTCCAAGGGTGCAGAGCCTGTGCATGTGAAGCTGGAGTCTGATCTCAAGTCTGCCTAACCTCACGCCTGAGTTCTTATCTTCCATTTTCACAGGGCTAGGGTGTAGGGAGCTAGAGTACCCCACCCCTTCTGGGGGGATCAGTAGCAAGGCTGCTATGAACTTTGGTTGAACTTCACAAAAGTGAAACCACAGCAGGAAGATGTGCATGTCTCAGAGAAGAAAAGACAGACCTAGAAAGAGATAACCAGCTTTTGCTGACCTTACTGCAAGATAGTTTTTAGCTGAAATATGTTAACTGAAGTATGAGAAGAATAACCACAGGCTGTTCCAAATAACTGCACCCTCCCTCTACTATGTGCTTTGTGAACATATAAAATAAAGTACACTGAGACAGGTCGGGGCCAGAGAGACTGACATCCTTCACCTCCTGGACCACCTGGGCCAGCTTTTTCTATGTCTCTGTCTGTGTCTTTCTTTATCCCCCACCATTCCCTCTTGGGTTTTTGAACCCTTATGCAGCACGGGACACAGCACACGCCAGACTAGGGGTGGGAGGACACACAGAATAGAGATACTTATCCAAGAAAAAAACAGATGAGGGTCTCAAACTGGCCCTCTCTAGAGTCCACGTTACTGGAGAGCTATAATAAAGTCAAATTACTACTCCCTGGATATAAGCCAACACACTAAGTAACTGGCTACAGTCACCTGTATTTTAAAGGAGAGCTGATCATCTACTTCTGTAACAGAAAAATGTGAATTAAACAAACAGATATGGGAGATTTAATAAGAAGAAAATTTCCATGGTACGTGATTGCTTCAACAGGCATTTGTTCCAATGTCCAATTTGAATGACTCCTCAGAAGGATAATTTTGAGATGCATTAGACCAGGATGCCTGCTTCTTAAAACCTGAAATGTACACTGTCTGGTTTTGTCGGCTTAGCACAAAATGTACTTTAAAAAACAAATGCCAAGTCTTCTAAAATGTATCACTTGTTCTTGGTTAGCTATTGCTAAGATGCTTGACAGGTAAGGTCAGAACGGGGCAAGATGCCCATTTTATCCAGTGACCAGTATGGAACCCGGCAGCTTGAGACCTACCTCAAACAGGAGACAGGAGCTCAGTGTCCACAGTCACTGCCGCCTACACCGTGCTGGTCATGCCTGAAGATTAAAGCAATGCCCTCCTGAAAGCGGGTCCTGGCCTGACTGGATTGCAAAGGCTGGGAAAGGACCCAAAAAGAGACCTTTTCCAACTTCCCATTTTAATAAAGTAGGGTGGGGTGGTTCTGCCCCAACAGAGGCTGCTGCCCCTGGGAGGCACAGCAGGGAGAAACTGCTGGAATACTGTGAACCTCTCTGTGGTGACTCAGCAACAACCCTAAGCTTCTCAAAGAAGTGGCAAAACCCAAGCTACCTGAAATAACAAGAAATTGTTGATTTTTAACCTGTAAGTTCTCTTAGAATTTGGTTTCCCCGAAATGAGTTATTTGCTTTGTGATGCTTGTTGCTTACTCTATCAATCATATTTGAGAAAATGAAGGGGAATGTGAAATGCTGAGATATAACTTGGAACTTTGGCTCTGCTGCGCTGCAACTTGTGACTTTGGCTCTGCTGAGCTGTTCTGGTAAAAACAGGAACTCTGTGAAAGGGACTAACCACATAGCTTGACTGCGAAGAGAGATGACAGCGCGTAACAGGCTTCTCATTGCAGAGAGCCTATAAACCGACGTGTAATGGAGAGGCTCACTACCCAGGTTCCTTTCCCAGGAAAGGCATATTGATTATGGCCCTGGAAAGGGAATGCGACCCTTTTGGAGAGCCTATAAATGGATGCATGAGGGGCGTCTGTCTCTGTGGTTGAGATAAGGATGTAAAAGTCTTTCTTCTCCCACTGCTTCTCCAGGCCTGCATGGAGGTCTGCTCCTCTTGCAGTTTTTGTGGTCAGGCTTGTTGCCCTGTGTCAGATCCTGTTCCCACGTCGCTGTGAGCCCAATATGTTCTTGCTGATATCATAAGTTTATGTTTAACCTATATTCTTGCTAAGGTGTATGACTTCTATGCTGATACACAGAAAGTTATCTTTACATTGTTCTGCTTTTATAATACCACGTTGTGATTTTTGTGCACCAGTTTTTGCAAATGTATTCTTTTTGTATAATTATCACTGAAACGTTGCATAACCGCGCTCCCCCTCCCCTACTGAAAGGGCACAATAAAAAACTGAGATTTTCAGGAGAATGTCAGACACCCATGGAGTGGCTTTATGTGGTGTCTCCCCTGGTCCCAGCTTTAAGGAAAACTTTTTTCTTATCTCTCTTTTTCACCAACCACTCGATCACTTTGAGAGATCTTAAACCCACATTGATGTATTGGGCACTGGTCTCACCAATAAGAAATGGAGAAGGAGGGGGCCTGGGAGTGATGTGAACTTCAATCTTTTTGTTAAAACATCTTCTACAACATGTTTTAGAGAAAAGCTAAACTCTTTAAGAACACTAAAGCTGGATCTTTCCTCTATTTGCTGAAAGCCAGTCACAGCGATAACAAGAAGAAGATAACAAGTTTTATCCTTATAGAGAACAGGTGGGTCAATGGTTGGACCAGGGTATGAACTAACTGTGGTGTAGCACAGACTAAAAGGGGCATCTCAACCTACCGGGAGAAAGGGCCATATGGTGGAGGGATCATCCCAACTGAGCCTGAAAAACAATGAGGCCCAGGTGGATGACTCTTAAGTTGGCCAGCATTCCCCACTGGCCGGCCATTCTGGATAATTACTAGGTATTCTCTGATCATCTCTCATACGCTAAGGGTTTGCTGGAAAACCAGGGAACCTAAAGATGGTAAGGACCCTACCTCTTTGACCTCTTAACGGCCTAGATGGCTACCCACCCAGCACTTACAGGGACTGCCTCTCATTTCTCCTAACAGAACATTCCTACATGGATGATAAAATACCTCATGTTCCCAGCAAACCCTCAGACTGAAACAGAAGACGTACTTGGGTAGTGGCCAGAGAAAGGTTCCAAAGCCAAGGGGACAACTGCTAGGGGTGGCCTTGGGATAAGGTATCTTCCCTCTGGCAGTTTTTGGGAGAAAAAGGTGAAGGTGGAAGTGAGCTGCTCCACTGGAGAATGCCCAAGCCAGGCCCCTGATGGAAATCTGCTAACAGGAGAAATCACGATGCTCCAATGTCCCAGCTGTAGCTTTCTGCCGGGAGCACATGACTGCTCCCAAGCAACCATGATGATCATGACCCTTATGGTGCTTCATGATTCAACTCCCGTTTACCCCAAAGTTTAATGATTGTTAAAACAAGTAGAGTTTTCTTAGTAATACATGCTTAATTCTTAACTGTCCATTAACTGTTTGGGAAAAATGCTTTGGACAAGGGCAGAGATCACACTTGTGTATCTTTTGCATACTCCATGACAGGGCTCAGAAGCATCAGAACTCCCACAAATTGGTTTTTTACTTCCGTAGGATGGAATTCCTCAGACGTGACAGAAGGACACAGTGACCCTTTCAGGGAAAGCAGCGAGGCATCTGGAACAGAGACAGTGTCCATACAGCAAACTACAAAGTGCATGCATGAAATCCTGGTTTCCTATGCACTTTCCCCCTACTTTTGTTTAGAAGTCAGATGTTGATTTTCATTATCTGCATACTTAACAAGACTGTCATGACATCCCATTACAAACTGTCTTCAAAGAAAGTAGTAAACATAACGTTACTATTCAAAGATAACATCCCAACCCTATGTGACTCCCTGCATCTTGCACTGATCATTTACAAACCAAGCATCTCCAAGGGGCCCCAGGGTAACATAAACAAATCTTGGAAGGGTGTCAAGAAACACAAGAATCATCACTGGAGGCTCTATCTTAAGCTTGAACTTTTGTTACTCCTGCCGTTTTAGAAGAAAAAACAAGCAAACAAACAAAACAATTGTCTTCTTATCTGAGAAATCTGAGCATGATTGCCTTGTTAACCAAAGTGGGTTAACCTTGTATTTACAACATGAATGCTTATTTCTCTCACTATTTCACCAGCTGTTCAAAGAAACCTTTTCTGATAAACGCCCACACTCCAAATGTGCTATGCTTCCTTGGCCCATGCTTCTACTGTGACACTTACCTGTTTCACAATTAGTAAGGCATGAGTCTGTTTCCCAAGCTAGACTGTCTGAATCATGTCAGTAACCCCAGACCCAGTAAAGGGCCTGGTATAGAGTAGGTACGCCATAAAAGGTATGTTGAATTAGAGAGAGAGGAAAAAAAAAAGCACATAAGCACTCACTACATCAGTCAATCCAATCAAGCGAACGCATGAAAACAAAAATTGAGCCAAAGTCCTGTACAGTACAGCTGAAAACACAGTATGTTTACAACGCAGATTTGGTTCTCTAACTTTGCATGTTTCTGGCTGACATTAAGATAAAACATGTACCAGTCAGCGCTGTGGAATATGGCCCATGAGTTCACAAATGGCATGAAAGCCCTCTTAGAGTCCAGAATCTGATCATCTGAACCAGTTTATGTGTGGATTATTCCACAGACTCAGGTGAGCTAGACTGGAGGCTACTCGCTATTTACCATTATTGTTCCAGTTGAAGAATCATTCCAAATTTCAAACAGACATGTAATGAACTATGGGGCACAGCTCCTTAGTTGGAGACTGAGTGTAAAGACAAAATTGCGAAGCATCATCAGCATACAGTCCCATAAATCACACTACACAAAAAGGAACTGGGCATACCTGTATTTAGACATTCATTCTTCTCTTATTCCCTTCAGCTGCCTTTGGCAGTCACAGATTCTGTCCTAGGACACCTTGCTGAGCTTGAGAGCTAATGTTGCACAGTGGTTAGATATGGACTCTGGACTCAACGCAGGTTCAAATGTGAACCACTTCCTGTGCGACACTGATTATCAATCTCTTCAAACCCCAGGTTCTGGATGTACCTTATTTAAAAACGGGGATTAAAAAGTATGTAAGGGTTTAATAATTAAAGAAATACATGAAACAAACTACTCAGTGCAGTGTTTGTCACACGAGTGTTCAATAAGCATTAGCTATCATTGTTATTTACATGATTCCTTTTCCAGAATTTTCTTTGGACTCCTTACAGGTCAACACTGCAATTAACTTTCTTGTGTTCCAGACCCCCTAGATTCCTACTTCCTGATCATGGCAGAGGTCATTTAATAAACTTGGGCCAAAGCGTTGATGCAAGACAAAATGATTTAGTGTTATTCCTGCCAAATAGCATCTTACCATTTCTAAGAAGAGCCACCCTCAGTCCTTACCACCTGTGTGAGAGGTGTGTTTTAGAGAAGGCACAAAGACAAGCCCCCATTTTAATTTTCACAAAAAAACAATTGTCTTCCCTAGACCAGCAATGACATGGTCTAGGGAAGGCTCTTTGAAGTCAAATTTGTCAGCTATTCAAGAGAGTTAAGAATTTTCAAGGGAAAATTTTAATATAAAGGGTTTATTGTGGATGAGTGAAAAATTATCTCCTCTGTTGTTCATAGTCAAGTTTCCCTTCCACACGAAGTCTTTCCATTCAGCACATAAAAGTGTTCATGCCTCTCCTATCTTCAAAATAAAAGATTTTCCCCAAACCTACACATTAGACTCTTGCTACCCATCTGATTCTCTTGGGTCTGCCCAAAGCTCTTGATGCAGTCGTCTATGTGTGTCAGCTCTTCTCTCACTATCCAGTCTGCTCATCCATAATCTGGCTTCTATTCCCCACCTTTCACTTACACAGCTCTCCTGAAGGTCACCAATGTGCTCTGTGATGGTAAATCCAACAGAGTTGATTCCTTGCATTACGTGACTTGTCATATGTAGATCTACCAACCAACACCTCCTTCTTGAAACTTCCTTCTCTATCTTTGATACAGCACTTTTCTCCTTCTCTTTTGCGGCCACTGCTCCGCATACTCACTTCTGGACTCCTTAGTGTTCTGTTGGGTTCCATCCTCAGCCATCTTCCCTTCTCACTGCACACACCTCTTGAAGCATCATCTACTTCCTTGGCTTCAACCACCACTCATATTCCAGTGACTCTCAAAAATAGATCTCCTGCTCACAAATCTCTGTGCCCCAGGCTCATATGCAGTGGCTTGTTGGACAGTTCCTCTTGCGTACCTCACAGCTGTGTCAAACTTAGCAAGTCCAAGTCTACAATTATCTTAACATCTACCCTTGTTACCATTAAAACAGCTCCTTCCTAGGTTTTCCACATGTTAGAGAACAGTTTCCTTGTCCAACCAGTAGACCAAGGCCTGACAGGAGTCATCCTTGGCTTCTCCCTTGCCTCGGTCTCCACATCTGGTCAGTAGAACCTATAGTACTTGAACAAACAGTGTTTCTTAAATCTTTATATTTCCCTCAATCCCTACGGCCACTAGTGTACTCTAAAAGTATCTTTACTCATGATCAGTTTCACCCTTACCCAATGCATTCTTCATGTGTTACGTTGGATTATTTAAGTCTATTTGCAAAGGCGCTTTCTATAGAAAGTCTCTTCCTCTCCTATCAACATCAGGAAAGCATAACTTTTTAAATTCTTGAAATATACCAGAAAACCTACACATACAGGGAATGATCCAGTTATTTCAAGATAATTAGGCAAGTACTGGGGACAATATTTCAATGTGATTGGGCAAGATTTCCATTTGTTTCTGTACTAGTAAGTGCTTTCTCTTACTTTGGCTTATTCGCGCAATGGAATATGATAGAAAAGCGAATGTCAGTTAACGAGAATTGTATGAGTTTAATGGATGTGGCTCACAAACCTAATATTTAGCAGAAAGTCATACAAAGACACACAAAATATATGAAGGTTACAAACATGAAAAATACTACGTCACTTAGTGATACGTGCCTAAGTTTAAAAGTAGAGGAACATACATGGGACCAATGAACATCGAGTTTGCGACGGTGGCTAAATCTGGTTGGAGCAGAGAGGGCTGAACTGAGGAAGGGATGGCCAGGCAGATGCATTGAC